GGAGCTGCTTCCCGCCAGGCGCGATCGGTGGGCAGCGTCGTGCTTGTGAAGGCGGAGCGGGGTGGTTTGCACGGAGTGTAGCCCGTGGTGCAGCAGAGAGAGGAGGACTTCGTGCAGCGGTCCACTGGGATGTACGGACGCCCCGTGCCAACGCGCAGCCCTGACCGTGGTGGTCTGGCTTTACCCCGTCAAGCTCAGGATTCAAGTCCCCAAATGCCCAGTCAGGTTCGGTATTAAAGTCCCCAGATGCGATAAGCTTCAGCACTGATCTTATGTGCTGCCGTTGGCCATGGGGGGAAAAGAGTCTTCCAATAGTACCTTCAAAACAGCTCCCTGAATTTATCCGGTATCCTGTCTGCCACTCCTCTGGTGACTTGGTAGAGATTTGCCAGCTAAAACGCTTTCAGAATGAAGTGTCGGTATTGACAGAAAGCTCTATACTTCCCTAGCGTGGTGAGCACAGGATAGCATCGCTGTTACATATTTATACCACTTATGATGAATTTCTGGAGTAATACCGGTACTGTCCCTGGTGCAGCAGTCAGAAGAAATCTAGCATGAAGAGCTCGGCTCTGTTTTATGCAAGTTTTGTCTTCAAATTCATGAGTACAGCTTTACTTCAACTGCAAATTTTATACCCTGGTATAAATGTCAATAGTTGGATTCATCTAGCTGATTGGTATTTAGAATATGACCAAGCCGGCCACCAGCTTACCTAAGCTGGAGAAGCGTGCTTTGAGTTAGAAACTGCAGATGCGACTTCACAGCTCCCTTTCTGCACGCATTGTTGTCTGTGTAATCGTGCTGCAGGTTTTGAGAGCAGTAACTTAAGCCTCAAGTTGAAATTCGCATCCATCTTTACTTGAACTGCTCTCCAGGGGCTGTACAGTCAGCAGAGGGACCTAGCCCTTTAACAAAAGGTTGTGGTGAACTAAAGAAACCATGGAAGTACTTTATTTGAGATGTTTTTTACACTTCTGCTTGGTTAATCTAAAGAAACGTAGCATTTACATCTGAATCTCTGGCTGCCTGTGGGCAGACTGTCCTGTGCCTCTCCAGGCCTTCAATGGGAGCCAACTTATGAGCAGCTGAATAAAAGCTTTCAGCCTAAATCTTTGCAGATCACAGAGATTAGATCTGTAATGTCTTTCCTTATTTCTTTAATGAGTGCACCTTTTGGTGTGGGTATGTATTTGAAATCTGTAGCAATTTAAAATACGTCTAACCATTGTAGAAAACAGTCTTCAGCCAAGCAGTTTGCAGCGAGGCTCGATTTGTAAAGCCCTGTGATACTTTGCCTAGTGGATAATGCACTACACAGGGCCTTGAGAGTCCCGAATTTTATTCACATTGCTGCTGCTGTCCTGCTGGGGTGAGTTTGGGCAGGCCACTCTGTCATAGTTTCACCAGCTACACCACATATATTCATCACTGCACTTATAAAATACTTTAAGGTCTGCTAACGTATACAGGAGTCTATAACATTCATGCGTTCTTATCCTTGGGGCAAGGAGTGCAGGATTAAAACTGGTGAGTTTAGTCAGCCTCTTTTAACGTACCCAAGTTCCGGATCCTGCAGGCATTGCTGCATGCGAGCAGTCTCCATCACTTTTAATGGGCCTAGCTCTTTGCTCTGAAACTTCTCCAGAAACAGGGTAAAGATAATGTATACTGTGTTATATTGTGATCATTTTTATTCCTGTTTTCCCATGGGCTCAAGAGGCTGCTTCTCTGTTGTGGTTTTTGAGCGAGAGTCCCGATAGCAAGGCTGGCTCTTCCACATGGCAGATCAAGGTGCTGTCATTCCTGCCTTTTCCTCTCCCCACTCAATTTTGGGATTTGTACTTTCCTGAATGGACTAGAATGAGTTTAATGGTGCTTACAGGCATACACTCTCCATGCAATCACAGACATAAGAAGTTAGTGTCATCGCAGACAAATGCAATGCACCTGGGAATCGTATGCTGCTCGGCCGAGATGCTGTCCGTTTACAGTAAAAACACTTCAACACGTTTTGGCTCTACGGGTTTTTGTCTCTGCGTTCTTAATGTTGCTTTATCTGAGTACTTGTTGGAAATATTTCTTCTTCAGATGCATTTTCCGTAAGCTTTTCACACTCTTAATGTGGGTTTATTAGATTTTGCATGAAATTCTCATTATTGTCATGTGTTTCTCTTCCATGTTTCTTTGACTTAGAGCAAGGAAGAATATTGAAAAGTGCAATCCGATGGCGGGGGCGGGAGCGGACAACAGTAAGATACAGATGGTGTGGTTTGCTTCTCCTTCCCAGTTTTCCATTCAGTGCCTCTATAAAGATGCATCATGCATCCCACAGTTGTATATACGTATTTGGCACACAAGGCTTTGAGAGCTAATGCAAGCAAACACTGGGCCCTGCAGGAGAGGAGGTCCCTTGTGATTCCAAGAAACCCATGCAAACCCCAAGGTGGTGTTCATGTATAACAACTTGTAGAAATTGGACCCTGCTTTTGTTTAAATATAGGCACAGAGTTTTTATCTCTCCAAGCTGTAATCATGGAATGTAAACATTTGAATTGATTTGTGAGTCATGTTGGATGTTATGTGTCAGATAGGCTGGAAGCAAAATGAATAGAAACTCATTCATATTGTGGTATAAATTCACGTAAAATTGTCTTTGTGTTTCATTGATTATTGCCTAAAGTTAAATAAGACACAAAAATGATGCAATATTTAAAGTTGCTTTTTTTTTAGCCAGTGTATGTTTTTAAAGATGGGACCTTCTCCTTGGCTTTGAATTATCTTACTCGGAACTTCTTGTTCCAAGCTTGTTTCATTATCGGTATTTCTTTAAGTACGTAATGTACATTTGGGTTCTTTAAACAAAAAATCCAACAAGACATCTGGTCTATCATAAGGTGTTCTGTTTTTAATGAACCTGGTTTGCTTCCATATGCAATGTGATGCTGGGAGCTTCAATAATTTAGATTTAATTTTTTTTTTAGAAATTATAACAAGAGTGCAAAAAGTCTTAAAGCACACTGTTAGGTTTTAATGTTACTGCTTAAGAATCACTAACATTTTGTTTTGATGCTTGATTACTGTTAGGAAATGGAACACTTCTCCAGTTAGGAGCATGGGAAAGCAGTCAGTCACTTTGAAACAGGGACAGTGCGCCTTTTGGCTTGTTTCAACAGGATCTAACAACGTAATCTGGGAAGACGCGGGTATAGGGAAGGAAGCAGTTGCTATCGAGGAATGTCTCCTCCTCTATTTTGAGAATGAAGGAAGTCAGGGAAAAAAACCAGCTTATAAACCACAAGTAGTATGGAACAAGTCTTGTAGCTTTAATCTGTGACAGTTATCTGCCCCTGTAAATGGTATTCCCCTGGTAATGGCACCCTGGAGGAAAGAGCACCTTGGTAATGACTTTGTCTTGCTAAATTTCTGTCCTGTGATCACTTAATCTGTTCTCTTTTTTTTTTTTTAAATCATTTGACATCTCTAGATTGATAAAACTGGAAACAAATGTAAGTCTTGGGTTACTTGGGCAAACAATCTGATGATTATTGAACTTGTTCTGTATTTTAAGGGATAGACTTAAAAGTGTAGAGCGCAAACATTAAAAACAAAGAAATTCCTTCTAGATCATGAAAGAGTTAATACACATTCATAAAATGTAGCTTTACTAGTG